CCCGCATCGGGCTCCCTGCTCCTTGGGAGCCTGCTTCTCCCTCTGCCTCTCTCTCTGTCTCTCATAAATAAATAAATAAAAATCTTTAAAAAAAAAAAAAAAGTTGCTTGCTTTCTAATCTTAGGATGATTCCTGTGATAGGTTTGATATATAAAGACCACATAAACCAAAGTTTTATGAAATTTATATGATGGCTATGATCTAATCTTGTCATTTTACCTACGCCATTTTTGTTGTCTTTCAGATTTTCTGATTTGTTTTGTCTTTATGTGTATTACGTAACTTATGTATATATTTCTTCCCACCTGATTGAATATAAGAATAAGAATCTGGTGTAGTCGGGAGGCCTGGGTGGCTTAGTCAGTTAAGCGTCTGCCTTTGGCTCAGGTCATGATCCCAGGGTCCTGGGATCGAGTCCTGCATCAGGCTCCCTGCTCGGCGGGGAGCCTGCTTCTCCCTCTGCCTGCCGCTCCCCCTGCTTGTGCTCTCTCTCTCTCTTTGACAAATAAATGAAATCTTAAAAAAAACAAAAATAATCTGGTGTAGTCAAAACCACATAAGTTCTCTGTGAGGCACATTGAAATAATGGGAAAACCAGAAGCCTTGGAATCAGATTGACCGAGGTTCAAATCACAGCTTTGATACTTAATACCAGCTGTGTGCCTTTGGGCAGGTTACTTATTAGCTTCTTCAGGTTTACTTTCTCCCATGTAAGATGTGAATATTAACTAATTTACCAGATAATTTTAAGGATTATAGATAATATATAAAAGCACCTAATATATAACTGGTACTCAGTAAGTTGTAGCTAATAGTAATATTGATTATTTCTATCTTTATAAAATTCTTAAATCTTTGATAATATCTGAAGTCATGGAAAGATTTTTGTTCTGTCTGGCTTTTAATTAAAAATGCATTTTACTTAAATGCGAATCCAAAATAAAAGAAATGGGATACAAAAGCTTTGGGCTTTAATCTAATGTATACCGATAATAAACCTTCATGTAAACTGTTAAAATAGTGTTATCCTCTTTCCTTTACTTCCTTGTTGGCTTCTACATAATGTGAATACTGTCACTCTGATGTGATCTCATGAGAGTTTGAAACTCAGTTTTTTCCTCTATTGTGATAAAATCTCAAATAGTTGACCCTTTTATCCTCCCCTTTTTTGACATCACCATCATTACTATTTTTATTAGGCACTTTTTAGGAACTAAGCTAATTTCTTTAAAAATCAAACAAGAAATATTTATTGAAGGGTCATTATGTACCAGGCATTGTGTTAGGCACTGGGTATACGCCAGCAAATAAGATAGATTTGGGATTTCAGACATTTCTTTTTGACTGCAATCACTTTTCACTCATAATACACTGTTGAAATAGGTAGTGATTAAATGTTCAGACTTTGGATTCAGACCTTTGTTCTAATCTTTTTACCACTTATCATGTGTAAGTGACAGCCTGACTAAGCTTTGGTTAAAACTTATAGGTTGCTGTGACATTTAAGTGAGATGCTGTTTATGAAATGCTTAACCCATAGAAGGCACTCAAGATGATGGTGTCATCATCTTGCTTTCTCAAGACTCCTTGAGATATACTCAAAGTGTACCTAATACTAAGTAACTATCCCATAACTATTTATATATGGTTTTGTTTCTCAAAGGATTGATACGTATTTCTTTTTTAAAAATAATTTATCAAGTATTTTTATTTCATTTATCTCCACAGTTTTCAGTTTCCCTTGATTTTAAGATTTAACCTTACTTAAAAAGTTTGAAAATATGAAAATTATTTTTTTAATCTTTACAAAAAAGAAAATAAAGGAAAAATATATAGTAAGTAGGTCTTACTTACTTAGCAAAAGCTGAAATGACCAG